AAGATGATGGTGGTGATGATGATGGTGATGAAGATGATGATGGTGATAGTGTTTATGATGGTGAGGAAGATGTTTATGATTATGGTGATGATGGTGATGAAGAAGATGATGGTGATAGTGTTTATGATGGTGATGATGAAGATGTTTATGATTATGGTGATGATGGTGATAGTGTTTATAATGGTGATGAAGATGTTTATGAGTATGGTGATGATGGTGATGAAGATGATGGTGGTGATGATGATGGTGATGAAGATGATGATGGTGATAGTGTTTATAATGGTGATGAAGATGTTTATGAGTATGGTGATGATGGTGATGATGAAGATGTTTATGATTATGGTGATGATGGTGATGAAGATGATGATGGTGATAGTGTTTATAATGGTGATGAAGATGTTTATGAGTATGGTGATGATGGTGATGAAGATGATGGTGGTGATGATGATGGTGATAGTGTTTATGATGGTGAGGAAGATGTTTATGATTATGGTGATGATGGTGATGAAGATGATGATGGTGATAGTGTTTATGATGGTGATGATGAAGATGTTTATGATTATGGTGATGATGGTGATGAAGATGATGATGGTGATAGTGTTTATAATGGTGATGAAGATGTTTATGAGTATGGTGATGATGGTGATGAAGATGATGGTGGTGATGATGATGGTGATGGTGATAGTGTTTATGATGGTGAGGAAGATGTTTATGATTATGGTGATGATGGTGATGAAGAAGATGATGGTGATAGTGTTTATGATGGTGATGATGAAGATGTTTATGATTATGGTGATGATGGTGATGAAGATGGTGATAGTGTTTATAATGGTGATGAAGATGTTTATGAGTATGGTGATGATGGTGATGAAGATGATGGTGGTGATGATGATGGTGATGAAGATGATGATGGTGATAGTGTTTATAATGGTGATGAAGATGTTTATGAGTATGGTGATGATGGTGATGATGAAGATGTTTATGATTATGGTGATGATGGTGATGAAGATGATGATGGTGATAGTGTTTATAATGGTGATGAAGATGTTTATGAGTATGGTGATGATGGTGATGAAGATGATGGTGGTGATGATGATGGTGATAGTGTTTATGATGGTGAGGAAGATGTTTATGATTATGGTGATGATGGTGATGAAGATGATGATGGTGATAGTGTTTATGATGGTGATGATGAAGATGTTTATGATTATGGTGATGATGGTGATGAAGATGATGATGGTGATAGTGTTTATAATGGTGATGAAGATGTTTATGAGTATGGTGATGATGGTGATGAAGATGATGGTGGTGATGATGATGGTGATGGTGATAGTGTTTATGATGGTGAGGAAGATGTTTATGATTATGGTGATGATGGTGATGAAGAAGATGATGGTGATAGTGTTTATGATGGTGATGATGAAGATGTTTATGATTATGGTGATGATGGTGATGAAGATGGTGATAGTGTTTATAATGGTGATGAAGATGTTTATGAGTATGGTGATGATGGTGATGAAGATGATGGTGATGAAGATGATGATGGTGATAGTGTTTATAATGGTGATGAAGATGTTTATGAGTATGGTGATGATGGTGATGATGAAGATGTTTATGATTATGGTGATGATGGTGATGAAGATGATGATGGTGATAGTGTTTATAATGGTGATGAAGATGTTTATGAGTATGGTGATGATGGTGATGAAGATGATGGTGGTGATGATGATGGTGATAGTGTTTATGATGGTGAGGAAGATGTTTATGATTATGGTGATGATGGTGATGAAGATGATGATGGTGATAGTGTTTATGATGGTGATGATGAAGATGTTTATGATTATGGTGATGATGGTGATGAAGATGATGATGGTGATAGTGTTTATAATGGTGATGAAGATGTTTATGAGTATGGTGATGATGGTGATGAAGATGATGGTGGTGATGATGATGGTGATGGTGATAGTGTTTATGATGGTGAGGAAGATGTTTATGATTATGGTGATGATGGTGATGAAGATGATGATGGTGATAGTGTTTATGATGGTGATGATGAAGATGTTTATGATTATGGTGATGATGGTGATGAAGATAATGATAGTGTTTATAATGGTGATGAAGATGTTTATGAGTATGGTGATGATGGTGATGAAGATGATGGTGGTGATGATGATGGTGATGAAGATGATGATGGTGATAGTGTTTATAATGGTGATGAAGATGTTTATGAGTATGGTGATGATGGTGATGAAGATGATGGTGGTGATGATGAAGATGATGATGAAGAGGATGGTGATGATGATGATGGTGAGGAAGATGTTTATGATTATGATGTTTATGGTGATGTTGTGTGTGCAGTACCGTCGTGCACCAGCAGGTGTGGCCTCAGGCGTCTCTCTCTGATGATGCGCACGAGCGCCGGCGCGGGCGAGAACACGTGACTGACGCTGATGTCGAAGCCCATCACACGCAACTTCTGCACGAAGTGCTCACGCGTGTTCTGAGTCTCGTTAGTGCAGAAGCGCACGATCAGACCCGAGTCCATCAGCCTGACACACACACACACACACACACGCACGCACGCACACACACACACACACACACGCACACACTTTTGTTTTATATTTTTGTATATTGTTTAGTTTTTATCTGATCAAATAGTGAGTAAAGAATGACCACAGCTGGCATTACTTCAGTTCAACACTGAAAAGTGCATTGTGGGACACTCAGTACACTAGCATAGCATACTAACCATTAGCGGTGCAACGGATCGCAGGTGATCGTGACCCGGATCAGGCCTAAAAGCCCGTTCACACTACAAGCGACTTTGTCGCTGCATGTCGCCAGTGGCTGGCGATGAGGTCGCTAGTGGGAGTTCCCACTACTGGTTGCCTTTATGAATGACATCCAATGATGTGGAGAAGGATCATACGCGCTCCGCTCCTATTGGTTGTCGCTCCCGAAAGTCGCTCCTCATTTGCATAAAGTTAAACAGATCTCAACTTTGTCGCGTCGCCAGACACGCCCCCTCCGGTCGCCAACGGTCGCTGTCGCCGGAAATCGCCAGCTCCCCATTGAAATGAATGGTATCGCGTAGCTTGGTCGCGTGTAGTGTAAACGGGGCTTAAAGGTCCCGTTCTTCGTGATCCCATGTTTCACACTTTAGTTAGTGTGTAATGTTGTTGTTAGAGTATAAATAATATCTGTAAAATTATAAAGCTCAAAGTTCAATGCCAAGCGAGATATTTTATTTAACAGAAGTCGCCTACATCGAACGGCCCGTTTGGACTACATCCCTCTACTTCCTTTTTTAATGACGTCAGTAGAACAGGTTTTTGACTAACGTCCGCCCACAGGAATGCTCCCTCCACTTGCGCACTTCTTATAACTTACTGTGTTTACTCAGCTCTTACGGTGATTTTCTGAAGTAAAACTGACGCTTCATCTTTTGTGTGATGTACAATAAACTTTATTAAACTCATCAGTATATGTTTGATCATCATTCGGACCTGGTCCGAAACAGCAGACTTGTAGGCTATTAATGAATAATGGATACATACAAGCAGATGACAAATACGTTATAATAACCGTAATTAAACTACTAAACTATACCTGTTCCATCTCTATACAGCACTCTGACTCTGTAGGCATTATTGTCCGACTCGAAATGAACACCGTTACTGAGAGTTTCTGATATTATCAACATTCCGTGAGATGAAATTGTCCTGAGAGACTGAGCGCGAGCTCATGAAGCTCCGCCCCCTGTGCCGGCAGCAGCAGCTTATTTGCATTTAAAGGGCACACACTAAAACAGCGCGTTTTTCTGAGCCCCAAAAAATGACAATTTAAACATGCTGTAAAAAATTATCTGTTGGGTATTTTGAGCTAAAACTTCACATACACATTCTGGGGACATCAGAGACTTATTTTACATCTTGTGAAAAGGGGCATAATACGGGACCTTTAACAGTTGAGAGAGAAACCGGATGTGTGTCAGTTTATTCGGTCTTAAAGTGACAGTAGCCTAATATTCCTGCTGTCGTCTGTGTCATTAATCTTCATAAAACAACAACTGTTCACTTGTTTTTAATAATGTGTGAACTTTATCAGTTAGGCTAGTAGTTTTCGCTGTGGTATCGAAGAACTTCAAGTGAGCTTTAAGTAATAAATGAAAAGCAAAGTTACAATTTTGTGATCCGTTCCACCACTATATACCATAAATCAAACCATCTTTCATAAAGATATGGCAGAAATAATAAGAATACTATGGTAGTATATGCTATGTAGTATGCATTGAGAAAGTTTGCATTCTATGCACAAGACAGACAGACAGACAGACAGACAGACAGACAGACAGACAGACAGAAAGATAGACAGATAGACAGACAGATATACCGCTTCACTGCTTCTATAGATCCGGGTATCGCTTGTCCTCCTCCTTCTCCACTATCATACAGAACTCCACACATGTCTAATATCACTCCTTTCACACTCTTCAACCACTCCATTCCGCTCGCGGCTGCCATGCTGCTGACGCTCCTGCGCATGCGCGGCGCACGGCCTTCTGGGAAGTGAAGTTCTTCTGTAGCACGTCACGATGCTGCTAACCAGAGAATTATTTGCATGCCACGAAAAATAACCGTTGTTAATTAAATCTATTCTTTGTATGAAGGCTTGTATTGTATTTTCGTTTGTTTAGTATAAAAACAATAATATGTTTATAATATTATTAATTTAATTAATTAATTTTGCCCAAACAAAATATTTTGGACAATATTTATATATTTTGATTTTAAACTATAGCAGGGGAAATAAATTACTAATGTATATTACCATGGTATAGGTTTAGACATCTCGAGGCAACCTTGCGTCAGTGTTGCGTCACACTCTGCGTCTGTCCTGAGCCTCGTCATCACGCGCTCAATCACTCGAACTCCATCACTTACAGGCGCAATAAAACCATTAAAGTGTGTAATTAAATGTATTTTAAAGAAATGTTCCACATTTCTGCAGAAAACCGCTCAACGTTGAGCAGCGCTGAAGCGAGTTGCGTCATGACGCAGAGTGACGTGGCATGCGTTCATTTGAATAATCCGTGTAGTGGCAGCGCGATACACGCAGCAGAGCAGACTCAACCCGCACGGACCCGCAGCAGGTAACACACACACACACACTCATAAACACTCACACACTCATAAACACACACTAGAGCGCGTTACGTGACGAGAGAAACACCATACGGGTGTTAAATCAGATTACAGCGCGAGACGTGAGGGCTGATGAATATTGATAAGACGAGGATGTTAATGAGCTCACATCAGCTTCAGTGATGAACATGAGGGTGAGGAAGGTGCTTTCCCTCTCGCTGTGTGTGTGTGTGTGTGTGTGTGTGTGTGTGTGTGTGTGTGTGTGTGTGTGTGTGTGTGTGTCTACAGATTCATGTAGGATTAACTGCGAGTTTATTCAGTGATATACATTTTATTTTATGTAGTTACTTTATTGAACTTCTTTGGACTGCTGTGTAACTATATTAGTTATTATTATATATTTATTATCTCTCTCTGTATGTGTGTGTGTGTGTGTGTGTGTCTTTATTTAACCCTGGCAGGGCTTGTAGTGGGTGTTTTGAGGGCAGTGAGTGTTCAGCCAATCAATTGACCTGCGAGAGATCACGTCATCACACGCCTGCAATAACACTGACACTTGTTGAAAAGTTTCTGCGAATCAGTTTAATAATTGATGAGAGTCTCCGAGCAGAAGGAGACTGGTGATATTTGCTCATTTGAGATCACCAGCTCTCTATTAATTCAATTCAAATCAGAAAGCTTTATTGGCACAAAAAAAAAAAAAACATTTTGTATTGCCAAAGCATTAAAACAACATAGAAAATGATTTAGAACAGGTCGATGGGGTGTGTGTAGGTCTGATGGGGTGTGTGTTTGGGCTGTGAGTGAGTGTGTGTTTATTGGATGTTTGCTTCTTTCTGGTTCTTTCTATTATCTATCAGAACATTGATCTCTAGCCATGATCATGTGATTGAAAAGTGAAATAATTGAACATTAATGTCAGAGTATGATGAGTAGAAGAGCCGCTAAAACTCTAGACCTGATGAGGAACGCCTGAGGCTTTGTTGGATTCTGTCTGTTCATCAGTTTCTTTCACACGCTGTCGCTCCAGAGGACACGTGTTCCTCTCCTGAGAGACATGTGACTTCATCAACATCTCACTGCTGTCAAAAACAGGGATGAAGGTATTTTCATCCATTAATGTTGATGGATAAACTCATGATTCAACAATACGGTAAACAGACCCTAAAACGTCCAGTTCTGCAGCGAGAGTTAAAGTCCCCATTAAATCAACATCTGTAACTCTTTTTTTCTAAATGATTATGGGTGCACATCATTATTGTGTTAATAATCTTGAATCAGAATAACTTCTTATTGCAGCATCTCTTCTCTTCTCTGATGACAAGGGCGGGGCTATAACCTGTCACTCACAGGAGATCAGCCAATAGCTAACTGTAATAAGGGCTTTTATGTTGTTTCTCTGTTTGTCTCAGAACAACCCGCCATGAACCGCATGAAGAGTCTGATGAGAGGCGTGGGCAGAGTGACGCCCGCCCTGACCCGCGCAGTGCATTCTGGGACACGCACGTCGTCCTCCGCGGCCTCTAGAGTGAAACACAAGGAGTGTAAGCTGACGCCAGAGGAGGTGTTCGCTCGCGAGGATCGTTACGGTGCTCACAACTACCACCCGCTGCCCGTGGCCCTGGAGCGTGGAGAGGGTAACCAACCACACGCTTCACTGTGCACTTCACACGCAGACAGGCTCTCCACACTCCTCACTCCACACGCCTCACTCCTCACTCCACACGCCTCACTCCACACGCCTCACTCCTCACTCCACACGCCTCACTCCTCACTCCACACTCCTCACTCCACACGCCTCACTCCTCACTCCACACGCCTCAACCCACACGCCTCACTCCACACGCCTCACTCCTCACTCCACACTCCTCACTCCACACGCCTCACTCCTCACTCCACACGCCTCAACCCACACGCCTCACTCCACACGCCTCACTCCTCACTCCTCACTCCACACTCCACACGCCTCACTCCTCACTCCACACTCCTCACTCCACACGCCTCACTCCTCACTCCACACGCCTCAACCCACACGCCTCACTCCACACGCCTCACTCCTCACTCCACACTCCTCACTCCACACGCCTCACTCCTCACTCCACACGCCTCAACCCACACGCCTCACTCCACACGCCTCACTCCACACGCCTCACTCCACACGCCTCACTCCACACTCCACACTCCTCACTCCACACTCCTCACTCCTCACTCCTCACTCCTCACTCCACACGCCTCACTCCACACTCCACACGCCTCACTCCACACTCCTCACTCCTCACTCCTCACTCCACACGCCTCACTCCACACGCCTCACTCCTCACTCCACACGCCTCACTCCACACGCCTCACTCCACACTCCTCACTCCTCACTCCTCACTCCACACGCCTCACTCCACACTCCTCACTCCTCACTCCTCACTCCTCACTCCACACGCCTCACTCCACACTCCACACTCCTCACTCCTCACTCCTCACTCCTCACTCCACACGCCTCACTCCTCACTCCACACTCCACACTCCTCACTCCACACTCCTCACTCCACACTCCTCACTCCTCACTCTTCACTCCTCACTCCACACTCCGCACTCCACACGCCTCACTCCACACTCCTCACTCCACACTCCTCACTCCTCACTCCACACTCCTCACTCCTCACTCTTCACTCCTCACTCCACACTCCTCACTCCACACGCCTCACTCCACACTCCTCACTCCACACTCCACACGCCTCACTCCACACTCCACACTCCTCACTCCTCACTCCTCACTCCACACGCCTCACTCCACACGCCTCACTCCTCACTCCACACGCCTCACTCCACACTCCTCACTCCTCACTCCTCACTCCACACGCCTCACTCCACACTCCTCACTCCACACTCCTCACTCCTCACTCTTCACTCCTCACTCCACACGCCTCACTCCTCACTCCACACGCCTCACTCCTCACTCCTCACTCCTCACTCCTCACTCCACACTCCTCACTCCACACGCCTCACTCCACACTCCTCACTCCTCACTCCTCACTCCACACGCCTCACTCCTCACTCCACACTCCACACTCCACACTCCTCACTCCACACTCCTCACTCCTCACTCCTCACTCCACACGCCTCACTCCACACTCCTCACTCCACACTCCTCACTCCTCACTCCACACGCCTCACTCCACACTCCACACTCCTCACTCCTCACTCCTCACTCCACACGCCTCACTCCACACTCCACACTCCACACTCCACACTCCACACTCCTCACGCCTCACTCCTCACTCCTCACTCCACACGCCTCACTCCTCACTCCACACTCCACACTCCACACTCCTCACTCCACACTCCACACTCCACACTCCACACTCCACACTCCTCACTCCACACTCCACACTCCTCACTCCACACTCCTCACTCCTCACTCCTCACTCCACACGCCTCACTCCTCACTCCACACGCCTCACTCCACACTCCACACTCCACACGCCTCACTCCACACTCCACACTCCACACTCCTCACGCCTCACTCCTCACTCCTCACTCCACACGCCTCACTCCTCACTCCACACTCCACACTCCTCACTCCTCACTCCTCACTCCACACTCCTCACTCCTCACTCCACACTCCACACTCCTCACTCCTCACTCCACACGCCTCACTCCTCACTCCACACTCCACACTCCTCACTCCACACTCCTCACTCCACACTCCACACTCCTCACTCCACACTCCTCACTCCACACTCCTCACTCCACACTCCTCACTCCACACTCCACACTCCACACTCCTCACTCCACACTCCTCACTCCTCACTCCTCACTCCACACGCCTCACTCCACACTCCTCACTCCACACTCCTCACTCCTCACTCCTCACTCCACACGCCTCACTCCACACTCCACACTCCTCACTCCTCACTCCTCACTCCACACGCCTCACTCCACACTCCACACTCCACACTCCACACTCCACACTCCTCACGCCTCACTCCTCACTCCTCACTCCACACGCCTCACTCCTCACTCCACACTCCACACTCCACACTCCTCACTCCACACTCCACACTCCACACTCCACACTCCACACTCCTCACTCCACACTCCACACTCCTCACTCCTCACTCCTCACTCCACACGCCTCACTCCTCACTCCACACGCCTCACTCCACACTCCACACTCCACACGCCTCACTCCACACTCCACACTCCTCACGCCTCACTCCTCACTCCTCACTCCACACGCCTCACTCCTCACTCCACACTCCACACTCCTCACTCCTCACTCCTCACTCCACACTCCTCACTCCTCACTCCTCACTCCACACGCCTCACTCCTCACTCCACACTCCACACTCCTCACTCCACACTCCTCACTCCTCACTCCTCACTCCTCACTCCACACTCCACACTCCACACTCCTCACGCCTCACTCCACACTCCACACTCCACACGCCTCACTCCACACTCCACACTCCACACTCCTCACGCCTCACTCCACACTCCACACTCCACACTCCTCACGCCTCACTCCACACTCCACACTCCTCACGCCTCACACGCCCAACATCACATTTGCAATCGTGCTGTTCAGATTGTACAATACAGATTGACACAGTGTTATAAGTGGAGCCCTGACCTGACGTGTCCCGTTGCAGGGGTTCACCTGTGGGACGTGGAGGGCCGCCGGTACTTCGACTTCTTGAGCGCGTACAGCGCTGTAAACCAGGGTCACTGTCACCCGAAGATCATCTCCGCGCTGACGGCGCAGGCCTCCAGACTCACGCTCACATCCAGAGCCTTTTACAACGACCAGCTGGGCGCCTACGAGGAGTACATCACCGGCCTGTTCGGGTTCGACAAGGTGCTGCCCATGAACACAGGTGCGCCTCAGCCCGGACACACACTAGCGGTGCTGATCCGTGATCACAGTGTGTGACACTCTGTGTGTGTGTGTTGCAGGTGTGGAGGGCGGAGAGACGGCCTGTAAACTCGCCCGTAAGTGGGCTTACTCTGTCAAGGGCGTCCCGAAGAATGAGGCCAAGATCGTTTTCGCAAGTGAGTTGAGTCTCCTTCATTTATACAGCGCTTTAACAATATAGATGTTCCACAGTGGCTTTACAGTGATAACAGGAGATTACAGTAAGAGAGATTGTTTTGAAGCATTGAAAACGTGATCTCTCTGTGTAAACTGTGAAACCGCAGAAACTGTGAGTCACTGAATCTATACACAGATATTCTGACGCCACTCTGGATTGAGACGAGGAATGAGGAGTGTCTCTCAAACCTCCTGACATATTGTTACATAGTCAAACCTAAATTAATTCAGACTCCTCATTTACATAAATGAACTATAGTGTCCTGCACACACTAGTAAAAAAAATCAAAAATGTTATCTGGTGTCTGAATAGTGGGGAATTTCTGGGGCCGTACGCTGGCTGCGATCTCCAGCTCCACAGACCCCAGCAGCTCCGAGGGGTTCGGCCCGTTCATGCCCGGGTTCCAGCTGGTCCCGTATAATGACATCACTGCACTGGAGGTACACACACACACACACACGCACGCACATGCTTATTCACCAGGATCTTAAATGTTAGTTCTGCTGTTGAATTCCTCAGACTCAGCTCATGATTAACAACAATCAAACAATTCATGATATGGTTTAGTGTGCAGATAAAATAGCAAATGCTGTGATTTAATTAAATGAATGCGGTTTTCTGTCAAAGTAAAAGTTGAACAATTATTAAAACTTTAAGACAGCCATAAATGTAAGTTTCACCGTTTAAAATAGTAGTAGTACTGTATTAAAATATATAATAATGATTGTAAGTATATTAATTAATTATAATATATTAATAATTATTATTATTATTATTTTATGGTTATAATTATAATTTAAAAAAACTAATTGGCCAAATTGTGCAGCCATACAAACAAGCACAGTAAATATGAAGTGTTATTTCTAGCCTGTGACTAACCAGCTCAACCGGTTCTTCCTAATCGTGTGTGTGTGTGTGTGTGTGTGTGTGTGTGTGTGTGTGTGTGTGTGTGTGTCGTACAGAAAGCGCTGCAGGATCCACACGTGGCTGCGTTCATGGTGGAGCCCATCCAGGGTGAGGCGGGTGTCGTCGTTCCTGATGCTGGTTACCTCACTAAAGTCCGGGAACTGTGCACTAAACACAATGCAAGTACACACACGCCATCTTGGCCGCGCGTCACTCGCGGAAAAAACGACAATGTGCAGCGAGGCGGATTAGCTGAGCTGAGGCGACGTGACGCTAACACACAGCAGACAAACGGCTAGTAGTGACATCAGCGGCAATCCACCTGTCACTCAAGTGGCCACGCCCTTAATTATGCACAACTTTAAGGCTTAATATAATTTAAACGGATGACTTATAGAAAAATTCACCGTCCTCACAGTCGTCATGAAGGGCAACATTAGCGATATAGACCAAAACCATTTTTAACACCAGACTGTAAACATGTTTTTTTCTGCTGTAAAGTTGGGCATTTTAACATGCGGGTCTATGGGACTGAGTCTCTTCTGCAGCCGGCCTCTAGTGGCCAGTGGAGGAACTGCAGTTTAACTCACTTCAGTGTCGGATTCAAGAGAGAGACCGGCAGGTTGTAACTCAGTTGAGTGTGTGTTGCAGGTTCTGTTCATCGCGGATGAGGTTCAGACCGGTCTGGCCCGCACCGGCCGCCGATTGGCTGTGGATCATGAGGACGTGAGACCAGATGTGGTGGTTCTGGGTAAAGCTCTGTCAGGAGGAGTGTATCCCGTGAGTCTCACACACACGTCGCCACGTATCACACTCGTGTGTTGGTTTATAGGAAGCACTTCCTGATCTGTGCGTGTGTGTGTGTTTCAGGTGTCTGCTGTTCTGTGTGATGATGAGGTGATGTTGACCATCAAACCCGGAGAACACGGATCCACGTATGGAGGAAACCCTCTGGCCTGCCGCGTCGCCATCGCTGCTCTGGAGGTGAGTGAGCGTGAGAGTGAGAGTGAGCGTGAGAGTGAGAGTGAGCGTGAGAGTGAGAGTGAGAGTGTGTGTGAGCGTGAGCGTGTTTGTGTGTGTGAGAGTGAGAGTGAGAGTGAGCGTGAGCATGAGCGTGAGAGTGTGTGTGTGTGTGAGAGTGAGAGTGAGAGTGAGAGTGAGAGTGAGAGTGAGCGTGAGAGTGAGCGTGAGAGTGAGCGTGAGAGTGAGCGTGAGAGTGAGAGTGAGCGTGAGCGTGAGAGTGTGTGTGTGTGAGAGTGAGAGTGAGCGTGTGTGAGAGTGAGCATGTGTGAGAGTGTGTGTGTGTGTGAGAGTGAGCGTGTGTGAGAGTGACCGTGAGAGTGAGAGTGAGAGCTTAATATAATTAATATAACTCACTCTCACACACACTCTCAGGTGTGTGTGAGAGTGAGCGTGTGTGTGTGAGAGTGAGCGTGAGAGTGAGCGTGAGAGTGAGAGTGAGAGTGTGTGTGAGCGTGAGCGTGTGTGTGTGTGAGAGTGAGAGTGAGCGTGAGAGTGTGTGTGTGTGTGAGAGTGAGAGTGAGCGTGTGTGAGAGTGTGTGTGTGTGAGAGTGAGCGTGTGTGAGAGTGAGCGTGAGAGTGAGCGTGAGAGTGAGCGTGAGAGTGAGCGTGAGAGTGAGCGTGAGAGTGAGCGTGAGAGTGAGCGTGAGAGTGAGCGTGAGAGTGAGCGTGAGAGTGAGCGTGAGAGTGAGCGTGAGAGTGAGCGTGAGAGTGAGCGTGAGAGTGAGAGTGAGAGTGAGCGTGAGAGTGAGAGTGTGTGTGAGCGTGTGTGTGTGTGTGAGAGTGAGAGTGAGAGTGTGTGTGAGCGTGTGTGTGAGCGTGAGCGTGTGTGTGTGTGTGAGAGTGAGAGTGAGCGTGAGAGTGTGTGTGTGTGTGAGAGTGAGCGTGTGTGAGAGTGAGCGTGTGTGAGAGTGTGTGTGTGTGAGAGTGAGCGTGAGAGTGAGAGTGAGAGCTTAATATAATTAATATAACTCACTCTCACTCTCACACACACTCTCAGGTGTGTGTGAGCGTGAGCGTGTGTGTGTGTGAGAGTGAGCGTGAGAGTGAGCGTGAGTGAGCGTGAGTGAGCGTGAGTGAGCGTGAGAGTGAGCGTGAGTGAGCGTGAGAGTGAGAGTAAGCGTGTGTGTGAGAGTGAGCACAGAGTGAGAGTGAGAGTGAGAGTGAGCGTGAGAGTGAGCGTGAGCGTGAGAGTGTGTGTGTGTGTGAGAGTGAGAGTGAGAGTGAGAGTAGGCGTGAGCGTGTGTGTGTGTGTGAGTGAGCGTGAGCGTGAGCGTGAGTGAGAGTGAGTGAGAGTGAGAGTGAGAGTGAGCGTGTGTGTGAGCGTGTGAGTGAGTGAGCGTGAGAGTGTGTGTGTGTGAGAGTGAGAGTGAGAGTGAGAGTAGGCGTGAGCGTGTGTGTGTGTGTGTGTGTGTGTGTACGCGTCTCATCTTCTCTCTGGACTCTGTAGGTTATGGAGGAGGAGGGTTTGGCTGCTAACGCTGATCGGATGGGTCAGATCCTGCGAGCCGAACTCAACAAACTCCCCCGAGAGATCGTGAGCGGCGTTCGTGGGAAAGGCCTCCTAAACGCCATCATCATCAACGAGACCAAAGGTGTGTGTGTGTGTGTGTGTGTGTGTGTGTGTGTGTGTGTGTGTGTGTGTGTGTGTGTGTGTGTGTGTGTGTGTGTGTGTGTGTGTGTGTGTGTGTGTGTGTGTGTGTGTGTGTGTGTGTGTGTGTGTGTGTGTGTGTGTGTACAGAAACCTGAACCCTATGTACAGAAATGCTGCAATAGGGGCGGATATTCTTTACTTCACTGTCAAGGCCAGACTACAGGTGTGACCAACCAGACACAATCTAGCATTATGGTGCCCTGAAAATTACTATCCACACTGCATAATGCACTCTAACTCTGATCACCTTGAATCAGTTGCCCATATTGTAAATGGCTGTAATATGTACAAAGGGTTATACACAGCACACCATGACCGTATTGTAGATCTCATTGGAAGTGCTGTTCAAAACATATTTCCAAAAAATATGCCTATGTATAAACATTCACGAGTAATACCGGACTGGTTTAACAGCTCTGATGATTTGTTTAGAAACATCCCTAACACCCCTGACGCTGTGCTCATGGACACAGATAGAAAGGAGGTGCTAGTCCTTGAAATAGGTTGTGTTTATGATTTGTATATGGACATAGCCTTTTCTGAAAAAATGACTAAATACCAACCCCTCCTTGCAAAGATTAGTGACCTAGGCTATGCATGTGAGCTTGTGGCATTGATATTTGGCAGCCTGGGACATGTCCACAAATCGGCTGTTAGTGGACTGAGACTGGCAGGGCTACCGAAAGGGAAGTCTAAACAGCCGGCAGAGTTCTGCTCTATATGTGATGGGCAGCCCTGCTGTGTGGCGGAAGAGATGCTTTATGACCCTTGAATGTCAAAGCTGTGTTATCTCTGAGAAAATTTGAACCCTTTCTGTAAGAAATTTGATTGGCGGATTCAAATAAAGAAATCAAATGTGTGTGAGAGAGTGTGTGTGATAATCTACTTCTAATCTTTTGATCTCTCTCAGACTATGATGCGTGGCGGGTGTGTCTGCGTCTCCGTGACAACGGCCTGCTAGCAAAGCCCACGCATGGTGACATCATCAGACTGGCTCCGCCCCTCGTTATAAACGAAGACGAGGTCAGGGAGTGTGTGGACATCATCAGCAGGACCGTCATGTCGTTTTAAGCCCTCTTCATCATCATCCTCCTCCTCCTCATCTGAGCTGTAGTTGTCTGATTTTAGCGCTCATGTTTTAGCTGTTACAGTCGGGTCGAGCCCGGACTCTCTCCGCACGGTTTTC